ATTAAAGGGCACATCCGGTCGTGGGGCAGGCGTGAGCTGTTAGGGCTTTGCAGGGCCTACAGGATGTGGCTGGACCACGTGCTGTCCAGCAGCTGGAAAGAGCAACTGAGTGTTCACTGTGGGCTCTTCCTTTTTCTCCTCTATTTCATGAACTGCTCTTTCTAAGGCAAAGGTGAATTCCATGCCGGCCAAAGCCTGCATTAAAACAAATCCTAAATCAGTAAATCAGTGTCGTTTTTTATTCATTTTTCTTTGTCATTATTTTTTTTTTTCATTTCTGAGCTTAGCCAGAGCCCTATTTATAGCACTCTTTGGCTTGATGGAGGAATAATTGGCAAACACCGCTCCTAGGTAGAGGGTACGATGGTATCCATTGTGGAAGGAGGACTGAGATCAAGATCATGAACACATCACGGCACAGAGTTAACTTTTTTTTGTCTGTGCGGTGAGAATGCCCACACTCTACCCTCCGCACTTTCAAGTACACAATACTTTATTATTCACCGGTAGTCCCCACGCTGTACATTCAGTCCTCAGAATGTACCACCGAACATGTGTACCCTGTGACCTACACCCCCTCCATCCCCCGCAGTGTCATCGTTTTGTCGCAAGGCCAGCCATTCATCGCCCTGACCACCAAAGCCCGCTTTCTCCTTGTACATCCAGTTCCTGTTCCTGTCGTTGGGGAAACCTATTAGTTGCTCCCTCACTGCCCTAAATATTTCCCGCCTCCCCCGGGCCCCGGGCTCCAACTTTTAACAAGCCTCGGAACAAAGCCGCCTGCGAAGGGGAGGTTCAGCGGGGCTCCGGGAAGAAGCCCCCCTTGCCCCCCGCCCGTGGGCCCGGCGCCCGGCTCCATTGTGGATTAAAGTGACAGGGAGCATCTTTTACTGTCACACAAAACCCCGAGCCTCCGTGTTATCCTTGGTCCCCCCCTCCCCCCACCACTAGGATTATAATAGGGTTCTGCCACAATCCCTCCCATTTTTGTTTCTCTCACATAAAAATTTACTGGTGCAACCTCTCTCCCCCCTCTCTCTCTCTCTCTCTCTCTCTCTCTCTCTCTCTCTCTCTCTCTCTCTCTCTCTCTCTCTCGGTGGGAGGCTAACTTTGTTTCTGATTGTCTTATGTCAACCCCAGGCGCAGCGATATTGCGCCGCTGGGCTTTTCTCCTTTTCTCTTTCCCCGGCCAGACGGGGCCGTCTCTGTTCCCCAGCGCACACTTGCCACTTCTCCTGTCGCCGTTAGTTAAAAGTAATTGTGATCGCAAGCCCCCCTCCACGCCAGGATCGTTTCTTTCATGGCGAAACCCACCCAGCATTCGTTTCAGTCTGGGACGCGAGGGCTCTTAGGGGATCAAACCCTTTTTCATCCAGATTCCAGACCAACAGCACCCGCGGCCACGCGCTAACTAGCGGGAGTTGTTAATTACGTCTCTAATTACAGCTCCGTGGCTTCCGAATTTTTAAAAGCGAGAAAATTAATCACTGCCGCGCGTCTCCTCCAGTAAAAAATGGCAGGAGCGTGCCTTCTAAGGTCTGTTCCCGCTGCTTGTGATCAGATCAGGCTTTTCCTCTGGCCTTCCTTTCCTCCCTTTGTGGACGGAACCATTCCTTACGTTCAAAGAGGTAACAGCAGGGTGAATGTTTGCCCATAAAACAAAGGCTTTGCAAACATAAATCCTGTAAATATGAGTCTGGGTGAGATCATCCTGAAGATATTCCAGTAGTTGATATCATTTGGGAGGGGGGAAAAAAAGAGTGAAGGCTAATTAAACGTAGAGTCCTAGGACATGGCAGCTTGTGTTTTCTCACTTAATTTTCATAACAAACCTATACGGCAGAGCCTGTATCTCTATAGTGGAGGGAACAGGTTCAGAAAGGGTCAGTAATTTCCCCAAAAGCACATAGCCCCTCAAGCATCAGAAAGAAAACAGGACTTGCTGTACTCATCCTCAATTGTGAAGTGGTATCCGGAGGCGTGGAGGCGTGGACAGAAAGCTGAGGCTGTCGTCTTAAAAACTCACTCCCGCCTGGCTGGCGTGGTTCAGTGGTTGAGCATCGACCCTTAAACCAGGAGATCACAGTTCGATTCCTGGTCAGGGCATATGCCCGGATTGTGGGCTCAGTCCCCAGTGTAGGGTGTGCAGGAGGCAGCTAATCACTGATTCTCTCTCATTATTTATGCTTCTCTCTCTCTCTCTCTCTCTCTCTCTCTCTCTCTCTCTCTCTCTCTCTTCCCACACTCCTTCCTCTCTGAAATCAATAAAAATATTTTTAAAAAAAACAAAACAAAACTCACTCCTGGCTTCTAGAATATTTTCTTGCCATAGTTAGAAAACGTGGCATCTGCCACTCTGTTCTTAACCAAACATTCACCCAGCTGAGACCAACGAGATGAGAATTTTTGGGTCCTACGCCAGGCCCAGCGAGGCCAGACTGAGACTCTCTGGAGATGATTGGAGACTTGCCCTTCACTTTCTTTGAGTTGCACTCCTTTTGGGTTGTTTTATATTTCAGTTAATTCCCCCAGATGACCTTTATGAACTTTGAGGGGAATTTTGTTTTCTTTGTTTTGCAGCCTTGCCCCAAACCTGGACATTTCTGATCAGGTTGTGTGGCAAATGAAAGATTCACGGCTGCGTCTTCTGTCGGCGCAGAGTTTATTCTCAAGGCCTCGTGTATTCCTCCGGTGAAAGCGAATATCCCATATGAAGTTTCTCTTCGGCTCACCTTCTCCGTCAGCAATAGGCAAACGCAGGCTCTCTTCCTCTCTCTTCCTTTCTCTCCCCAGCACATGCTCACACCATGCGGGGACCACCTCAGCAAAGTTTAGTCTGAGTTTCAACCACTCGGCTTAAGAAAAGTTTACATCTCCCCCTAGTTCACGGGAAGAACCGAAGCACACATTGGGAGAATTTCAACAGAGCTCCCTCTGTAGGCCCACCCTCTTCATCTATCGATAGAATCGCTCAGACCAGGTAGACCAAAGCAGATTCTTTTGCTTTTCGCTGTCAGTAACGGGTTCCTTTTCCTCCTCCTGTGCCGGGAGGATCTGTGGCATCTCCCCACCCAGGATGCGTTTGCAAACACTTCTTTTTGGAAAGGATTTTGGAAGCCCCCTCCCTGGCTTTGCCCATCTTTGCTCTCCCTCCCCCTGGCACTTCTTCAAGGCACACAGCCCCGAGCCCTTGCTTCCATGTCACTTCGTGCCCTCTTTCCCTAGATAAAAAAAAAAAAAATGCAAGACGGCTCGGACCTCATATCTCATTTATTTCATCTTCCAAAGTGCGAAGTCAGAGTACGGAGCCCTTGAGACGCAACCTCGGGGGCATTTCAGGCCAGAGGATACACTGGGCTGAACACGTGGGTTCCCTGGTGAGCCGGTGAGATGTGCAAACTCGGAACATTTATTTATGCCTCAGCGGCAAGATGTGCTTTTCTCCCACCCGCGCTGCAGGCGGCTCCCGGGAAGCCAAGTGCTGTCATGAAAACGGCAGGACAGCCTGCTTCCTTCCCACCGTGGGCGCCTGTTTTGGATCCCATGGGAGCTGTGTGGTGACTGCCACTGGCTGCTTCTGCAGCGGGATTATGCACATTCTAGAACCCGGGCTCGGCGAGGGGAGGAGGGTGGCGATGAGGTGCTGCCCTCAGGAATGCCCCTCGTGGTGCTGGCATGTTTTCGGGCTAGCAAGCCGGCTGCAGCACCGAGCGTGCGAATCAGTGTGCTTTCCAGACAGTGGTCTAATGAAAACCTTCTGGGGGTCCCCACCTCCAGACAATCGTTTCGGAGTTCTGTCCGTGTGAGGTTTAATTCAGTAGCTTCACAGTTTTTTTAAAAAAGCTTTGGCTTGCCCTGACCGGTTTGGCTCAGTGGATAGAGCATTGGCCTGCAGACTGAAAGGTCCCAGGTTCGATTCCGATCAAGGGCACGTAGTACCTTGGTTGTGCGCACATCCATGGGGGGAAGTAGGGGTGCAGGAGTCAGCTGATGGATGTTTCTCTCTCATCGACATTTCTAACTCTCTCTCCCTCTCCCTTCCTCTCTTTAAAAAAAATCAATAAAATATGTTAATAATAAAAAAATTTAAAAAAGCTTTGGCTTATCTAATGCTCATCAACTGCTACACACGCAGCAGCTGGAAAGCTCCCGTGACCCTGTCCTTCCTGGGAAGCAGCTAGGACCCCAGTGCACAGGGAGCGTTGGCCGAATCTGGAAGAGGCAGAACCGCTCAGGAGCTTGCTGACGAGGTGCCGTAGGGACCAATCCCAGCCAGTTCCGCTGTCCTCAAGGATATGCCCCCGCTTGCTGGGTTGCATTGTTTTCCAGCTTCCCCTTCTGGACCTTTGGATGATTGACACAGGCAGTCTCATGTCCTGCATCCCCGGCGTCTCCTAAACAAGAAAGCTGTCCCAGGGGCCCTTTCCCCCTCCCTGTGTGGGAGTCCATTCTGTGGGAATCTGTACCTATTCTTCACTAAATCTCCACCTTTGCTATAAAAACAACAACAACAACAACAACAATAAAGCTGTCACTCACTCATCGGTGTGAGAGAGACACCTCAGTTGGTTTCCTGTGTGCCCCAGTCCTCCGTCTTCAGGATGTCAAACCTCCACTACGGTCTATGTCTGTCCCTCGGCAGCAGCTGAGGAAACTGGGACCTAGAAGCCTTTGAGTTGCCCAGACTCCTGAGTCCTAGGGCAGGTGATGGGTCCCATGAGCAGAGAGCATGGCCTCCCGCTCCCCGGAAAGTGCCCTTCACGCTGCCGAGGATGGTGCATGTCGGAGCGCATGCTCTTGGACCCGCTTGCTCCTCCTCAAGGACTGAATCTGGTCAAAACCTCCTCTGGGAAAAAACGCCACTGATCCTGGGGGAGGAAGGTATGGGGACTCTTGGCTCTGCTTCCCGGCCAGATGGTTGGGATTATTGCATGATAAATCAGTATGCGGCTTCGCGTGTCTGTGCCTCTCGCCACTACCGTGCCCTTTCTGTTTTTAAGGAAAGAAGGATTGTCCAAATGTGGAAGATGCAAGCAGGCATTTTACTGCAATGTGGAGTGTCAGGTAGGTACGGGGCCGCCTGGCAGGGAGGGCCTTGTTTCCGGAAACATCGGGGACCCCCAACATCCTTCTCTGGCTTGTCACGGGCTCCCCCAGCGCCGGAGCTGGAAAGCCGCTTGGTGGTGTGGGATGTGGCTGGATACCCCTGGGAGCTGACCCGGGACCCGGACAGTCACCTATGGGCGCCATTTATAGGACCAGGAAAAGGGAGCAGGAGAAGTGGGAGAGACACAGGGAGAGCCATGTGGGGCACAGGCAGGTGTGTGACCGTTTGCCCCCAAGGCCACCAGCAGCGAATGGAACATGCAGAGATGACAGATGAGAAATGCTCAAGTGCTGTCTTTAAAATGTTCACATCCTTCTAGCAGGCCGCACCCCTGGGCTGTTTGAACCCAGCCTGAGTCCAGCTAGACTTAGGTGAGCCCCTGGCACGGCCTTTGTTCAGACAGCTGGAGGGTGGCTGCTCGGAACTGGGACTGGGGCTGGGGCTGGGCGGGTTCAGGAGGCTGGCTGCATGCAGACCACGGGCATCTGGTTTGATGGAGAAGTATCAAGAGACCTGAGACTCAGGTTGGAGGAAGTCTTGTGGGCTCTTTGCAGGGTGGGGGTTTTGGGGGAGAGACAGTGAGAAAAACCTCGATTGTTTTCCTTCCACATGCCCCCGACCAGGGCTGGGGACCGAACCTGCAACCAAGGTATATATGCCCTTGACTGGAATCGAACCCAGGACCTTTCAGTTCACAGGCTGACGCTCGATCCACGGAGCCAAACTGGCTAGAGCTCCCCAGTCAATTTTTTCAATCCAAACCTAAAAAACACACCCTGGGACATGCTATGCTCTTCAACAGCGGCTCCCACTGATGGAGTGACGTGGTGTCATTCACATCCCGCCCCCCCACCCCCCATCTACTTCTAATCACCCTCGATTCCATTTGTTTCCTTCTCCTGTCCCCGTGCAGCTGCCTCTGAATGTCCCCAAAGAGCGATATTTAGCCATGGGAGAGGTTGCTAAGCCTTTATGTCATCTGACCGAGGCGCTCCAGCCTCGGTGGGCTCCTGCCAGAAGGAGGCCCGGGCTGTGCCATTGGCACCGGAGGCCACAGGCACAGTCCCCTCTCTGCGTCTCCAGGGCAGGATTCCGGGGCTGCCCGCCTTTGCGACAGTGAGAATGTACACGGCCGTGGCTGAGTTTGGAGTGGGCCTTCTCTCGAAGAGGAGAGACTGACCATACGTTGCTCCCACCAGTTGTGGATAGGACATTTCGTGGTTAGATGGAGATGTCGATGAGCCCTGGGACTTCTGTGATGTGGCCCAGGCCTGATAAGTTAGCTGTTTCTATATTTAACTTAAGCCTAGAAAAATATTGTAACATTACCTTCTGGGTCTCCAGAGAAGCAGGTAGTAAATCACACACAGTTCAGGGACTATATGACCCAGACTAGCAGGAGGCTTGGATCCCAGCTCTGCAGCCTGCTAGCTCTGTGAACTTGGCCATTCCAGGGACCTCCCTCCACCTCAGCGTCTTCCAGTGTAAACAAGGACAGTGGCGCCCGTTGTCGTAAATTGCCCAGGCCAGGTGATAGATATGAAATCTATCTCAACTGACAACTGTGTCCAGGGGCAAGGGCTTATGAAAAAATAATGTTATAATAATTCGGGTGGGACTGAAGTTCAGGCTTATGCTAAGAATAAGGCATACAGCATGCTTTAGATTTAAGGGGCTTGTTATGTTTTGTGTTTTTTTGTTTTTTTAACCTAAAAGAGTGGATGGTTCCTGAGACCTTGAGACCACTAATGGTGTGCACTGTGTGAACGATGCTTATTATAAAACGAGTCTTCACATCTCTGAATACCTGTGAACGCGGCATAAATAGGGAACATCGGGATGTGTGAGGTGCTGAGTCAACTCCGGGTGTCTGAAGCATAAGCTACTGTCCTGTCAGCCTCATGAGGTGGCATTATTTTAATGAATCATTATGGTCCACGTTGAGGTTTGTTTTTTGTTGTTGTTGTTTTTTTAATATATTTTATTGATTTTTTACAGAGAGGAAGGGAGAAGGAGAGTCAGAAACATTGATGAGAGAGAAACATCAATCAGCTGCCTCCTGCACACCCCCCCCCAAAGGATATGCCCCCCTCCCCAGGGGATATGCCCACAACCAAGGCACATGCTCTTGACCGGAATTGAACCTCAGACCCTTCAGTCCACAGGCCAACACTCTATCCACTGAGCCAAACTGGCCAGGGCCATGTTGGGGTTTTAAGGTGGCTCTGCGGGTTCCCCTGTCTTCAGGACCTAGTCTCCCAGATCTGCAGACTCAGAACCCCATTTGTGAGTACACAGTGAGGGGTGCCCTCTCTCGGGGGGTTCACATGAACCAGGCACACCAACCCGAGGGCCTGTTTATGCTTCACAGCAGGCAGCCTGACAGTCTCTGCACTCGCTTTCTGCAGTCAATTTGCACAGCTGGTTAAATCCTGAAGGGCAGCAAGGTTAAATCCTTGCCTGGGCAGCAGGGAGCCCGGGATGGAGAATGCAGTCCTGTGACTGTAAGCCATGTTCAAAGGCCTAAGGCCTAGGCAGCTCGCTGAGTTCAGCCTCGCCATGTGTGGAGTGTTCCCGCTGCTTGCCCAGTTCCTGGGCCGTGCACCCTCAGCCCGGGAGCCCGTCTCCAGGTCACTTTTCCTGTGCGTCTGCCAGGAATCTGGGGGCCAGAGGGCCCGCCTCGATGACCAGGGATAACCCCGCTCCTGAAGCCCCCGGTTTCCAGAGGTGACAGGCTGGACCTGACCTGTTCGTTTCCCTTTTCTTTCATCTGCCTCCTCTGGTTGAAGGAGGAGGCCGACGCCCATGGCTTTCCATTCTTTTTTTTCTTTTTCTTTTTTCCCCTCAATATATTTTATTGATTTTTTTGTTTGTTTGTTTGTTTGTTTTTTTTACAGAGAGAAGGGTGAGGGATAGAGAGTTAGAAACATCGATGAGAGAGTAACATCGATCAGCTGCCTCCTGCACACCCTCTACTGGGCACATGCCCCTGACCAGAATCAAACCTGGGACCTTTCAGTCCGCAGGCTGATGCTCTATCCACTGAGCCAAACCGGTTAGGTTGGCTTTCCATTCTTTAGTTCTGAAGAGCTAAGTAGGTGCAGGGCAGAGCGTTACAATGAGAAAGGTGGTCAGGCGTTTAGTAACAGGGAGTGCAAGGGCGTCCTACAGGCTTAGGGAGGAATCGGAGGCATTTGCTCCGGATGGAAATGTCCTCGGGATTCCGCCTGCGGGAAGGTTTGGACGGGATCCACGAGGAGGCTCTGGTGCAGGAATGAAGGTGGCTGAAACAGGAGGAAGAAGGTAATTGAGTGATTCTCCACCTGAGAAAGCCTCGCCCTCCCTGGGCCTCCTTCCCAGGTGGGCCCCACCCACCTGTAGGCCTCAGGAGGGTCACCATCACACAAGAGGAGGGTGAGGTTGGAATGAAGGTGATCAGGTTTAGCCCAAGGAGATGAAACAATGCCCATACTGGTTGAGTGACCTGCCAGTGCATATCAAGGGCTAGAGGAAGCCCTTCGCCACTTCCCAGCACTCTGTGTGGGAATGCTGATGGCCCCCTAGTGCTGTGCTCTTTGGCCCCTTGAGTGTGGCTCTTCCACAAAATACCACTGCCTGGGCGAATCTATTCAGAAGAAGTGGCTTTAGAAGAAGTTTAAGTTTAAACACTTTGGCTCTCAAAAGAAATTTTAATGGTTGTACCTTTGATATTTGGCTCTGTTGACTAATGAGTTTGCCGACCACTGCCCTAGGAAAAAAGACACCATGGGAACGAGTTACAGAAACGGAAGTGAGGTTTTCATGGATGTGTGCATTCCCCCCGGACCCTTCTCTATAGCCTCAGCGTGTTCGGATTTTGCTGTATTTTCTACAGTTTGGCTGTATCCTGCCCCATTGACTTTCTCCTCCTCCGTCACTTGAGTCAGGGTGACCCTGCCAGAGGAAAGGTTTTAATGGATGAAGCAGAAGAGGGTAATGGGGGGAAATGTCAAAGAAACAGAACCTGCTTTTCAGTTAGGCTCGTGTTGTAACCTGTGTGTTTTCATGAACGACATTTGTTTTTATAAATATGCCTGGAAAGCTCAGTGTATCTTCCCTCACTCAGACGTCATTAAACAGCACCATGACATGTTTAAGAGACTCGCTTTAGAAAGCCGGTGGTTTTAGAGGAGTCATTGGGATGTAGAACTTTCTGGGGTTGTTATTTCTTAACGTTAACAAGCAGGAAAAACAAAACAAACAAACAAAAAAAACACCCTGTTTGTGTTGTATACATGGAGGTGATGCGGTTATGAGTGCTTTTGAAAGTAGGAAGGAGCATGCCCTGGCCTAGATAAGAAAATTTTTAAAAAGCACATGTGAGGAGCATGTGACTAAAGATGTGAGAAAGCCCTTGATGTTTGTCAACTGGGAAAAAAAACCCTGACGTGTTGAAAATGCGTCAGACATGCTCGCGTGGCCTGTCGTGGTTCTAGGTGATTAGTGAATGGGCCCGAGTCATGGGTTCCATCTTGGTTACGTTCCCTTTGGTCTCACAGACATAGGAAGCATCGTCAACTGGGCCACTTGTTTTTAAATGATAGTAGAAACCTTTTCTATATGTGTTATACGGGGACAGTCTGTGTCTGAGTGGCCGAGTGCATCCCTACGGTCACTCTTTGCAGAGCATGTGTCCTCAGGGTGAGGATTCAGCAGCGTGTGTCACCTCCCCATGAGATGGTCCTGCTTCCGTTGGCTCTCAAAGGGAATGGAAAGTGTATGACGTTTGCCCATTAGTCCACATTGCAGGAAAGCGCATACATGTGCGTACAAGCGGCCTGTGTCTGTTTTGAAGGCGCCATGAGAACTAGAGAGACACCAGATGCAAGCGTTGGAGAGGGGGACTTGGCGGTAAAAACGGGGTCTCCTGAGCCAGAAAGACAGGGTATCCTCTGCTCTGCAGAAAACTGGCTGACTGAGCAGTCACTCTTCCGGGCTTGGAAATGCTGGCTCACCGCGAGACACTGGAGCAACTCTTTCTGCCTCTTTAAGCACTTGTGTCCGTGCGCAGAAAGGTAAGCCATGCGGAGCAGGTGGCACGTTGGCTCAGAATGAAAGAGGAGTTACAAATCCACAGAAAGAGCCCGTGTCTTACTTTTATGTGGATGGGCTTGTTTGAGTTGAGGGCGCTGGTAATCTGTGCTTCCTGTTGGGAACTCGGGAAGTCCAGTCTCAAAGCTCAGGAAGAGCATCTATAACCTTACCTTTCCAGAGAAAATCACTAGTGATGCTTTGGTATACGCCTTTTGTAATCCTTCCTGTGCATTTATTTTTACTGTATATCATTTTTTTCTGGAAAATGGGATCCAAGTTTACATAAAAAATTTTTATGAAGATGGCAATCAGGGCAGGAGTAATAGCTTGAATTTAGAAGGGGAAAAAAATAGGATAAGAGGTTTTAGAGAAACTGACCAAAAATATTCTAAAAAACACAAAGGGTTGCAAAACTATTTTGTGCAGTTGCTGCTAAGACATAAATAAATATAAATGAGTAAAAGGCTTAATTTCCCCCCGGTTTTGTCCAGTCTGATTGTTTATAATATCATATGTGCAAAACGAGGGCAACTTGCCTCTACCGGCTTCTCTAAGATAATGTCATCACCATCCTACAGAATGTGAAAACGTATGATTCTGATTAATGTCCCTGGATGAAACTTATGTGATCCTGCGCTCCCTGGAGGCAGGCCATCTCTCTGCTGTAGCTGCTGTGTGAGACAGTATCCCTTTACGGGTGCTCTGGCTTTTATCTGGTTTTCCGATAAAGGCACAAACAAAGTCAAAGACTTCTTCTCCCGTCCCTGCCTGTAGGGTCAGTTGCAGAGCTCATTGAATGAATGAATGAATGAAATGAATGAATGAATGAACCCATAAATGAACACTTACCCTGCCGTGAGGGCACGGTGTGCCAGGCACTGTCCTGAGTGCTTCCTGCGGATGAGCTGGTTGGACCCTCACACGTCCCTTTCTGGTGACATGAATGCCTGCTTATCCTTGGAAGGCCTCAAGCTTGGTCCCTGATTAGCACTGCTGGAAGGTGTAAAATAGTAGACTCAGGCTTCTGGACCTGCTAAGTAACTTAAGGATCATGTTATTTACGGCCAAGGCTACGGACGCAAAGGGATTAAGAGGCCTGTCTGGCGTCATGCCGCTGCTTCTCTGTAGTGTGGGCATAAGAATGCAGGCTTCAGTCCGGCCATGTGGCTCAGTGGTTGAGCCTCGACCTATGAACCAGGAGGTCACACACAGTTTGATTCTTGGTCAAGGGCACATGCCCGGTGGCTGGCTCGATCCCCAGTAGGGGGCATGCAGGAGGCAGCCGACCTATGATTCTCTCTCATCATTGCTGTTTCTATCTTTCTCCCTCTCCCTTCCTCTCTGAAATCAATACATTACATTAAAAAAAAAAAAAAAAAAAGAATTTAGGTTTCCCAACCAGCGTCCTACCTGACCGCACTCTGCTCTCCTCCCCCCAGAGCGCCCGTTGTGGGTAGGCTCGCTTCCCTTTGAGGGCATTTACATCAGTTCAGTGTCAACATTGCGTGCTATTTCTATTCACGTTCATGTGGTACCAAGTATATGAATAAACAATGAACAACTCATAGGAACAAATGTCAATATTAAACTTCTTTCTCCCGGGAGCTCGTTGTCATTAACCACCAGAGGCACCGTCCACAGTTCAGAAAGCCCGTCTCCCCCAGGCCCTGCCGAGGCCTTTTGTTAGCTCTCCGGGGGTCAGAGTGGACCCCGCTCCCAGTGGTCAGTCGCTGCCTCTGGCACCCGTTCCCATCAGCATCCCGAGGCCTGGAGCCCGCTCTTTGCCTTTCTCTCTTCGCTTGGCATCTGGGGAGGGCGCTGGCTTGCCTGCCTGCAGGGAGGGAGCTGGGCCCACCTGCCCCCTACCTCGTGGCACCACACTCTTATTTTAGGCTCTGACTAAAAGCAGATCCCCTTCTCCTCCCCGGTGCAGACCTTGCCATTCCTCCCTCTCCCCGCCCTCGGTTATATTTGGCGCGGCGGCCGTTATTTAACTCTGCAGAACGTCTTGGCGCAGCACCGGGGCCAAGGGTCTGTGTCACACACAGCATTCAATCACCGAGTGACACCGTGTCCTTCCTCCTTGGAACGGGGTGAAGGGAAGGAGGGAAGGAAGGGGGTGGGGAGTCATCTTCATTCATCCGGCCACTTGGTGGAGGGCCTTGGGAAAGCCAGGCACTGTTCTAAGCTCTGGGGTGACCGGTGGGAACCAAACAGACGGAGTTCCTTTGTTGTAATGGGGTCGGTGGGGGGGGCCACTAAGCCAGAAACCTAGTGAATGTGTAATAATACATCAGGTGGTGAGAGGTTACTAAGGAGAAACATAACGATGTGGGAAGTGCTGTTTGGGGCAGGGTATCTGTCCGTGGCAGGTGTCCTGAAAAGGTGATGGGAGCAGAGGCATGGAGGAGCGAGGGAGGGGTGGCGTGGGTATTGAGGAGGAAGTTCCAGCCAGGAAATCCAGCAAGGTCCACAGGCCCTGAGCCAGGAACATGCTTGGTTTGTTCAGGGACAAGAGGGAGCGTGCGTGGCCCTCGTGGTCAGGCACCAGGCGGAGTGACTCCTCGCTTCATATGTGTCCTCACAGGCCACCTGAGGCTCTGCCTTTTGCTCTGGAGGAGATGCCAGCAGGAGGCTCCGGGCTGAGAGGCGGCCTGGTCGGATTTTGTGTAACAGGCCGATGACTCTGGCTGCCCTGTGGATCACAGGCGGTGGGGGTCGGCAGGCAGAGCCAGGCCTCCCAGCCGCAGGGGTCAAAGGGGGCATCGATGGCAAGGGCAGTCGTCACCGTGAGAGGCGGCAGGGCTGTGCTGGGCTGGAAGGGGGTAGTGAGAAGTGATCGGGCTCTGGGCATCCTCTGAAGGCCCAGGTGACGGACTTGCTGAGAGGAGCGTGCCTGTGAGGGGGACAAAGCGGCCTCCGGGCTTCTGGCCCCAGCGTCTGAGAATGGGCTGCCGTTTCCTGAGGAGGGAAGGCCGAGAGAAGAATGGACACTACCTGGTGCCGCTGAGGATGAGGGCATGATGACCCCACCGGTATCCAGTGCTCTGACATTTCCCAAATACAAAATGATCCCCCACCCTTGACCCCTCTAAGCCTTCACCCCATTTCTCCCAGTGTCTCTCCCTCCCTCTCTCTCTCTCTCTCTCTCTCTCTCTCTCTCTCTCTCTCTCTCTCTCTCTCTCTCTTTCTCTCTCACTGCCAGCAGCCTGTAGGTATTCCATGCTGTCACACCTGTTTGTTTTTTCCAAAGTTGGCCGTGACCTCCATGGTGTCTGGTCAGTTCTCAGCCATCCCACACTAGCCGTGTCACCAGCTGTCACAGTCCCTTCCTCCTCACTCCTTACCCTCTTCCATGGGCCCATAGCACCTCGTGTCCCGTCCCCCCTCAGCTTCCTGGACTCCGTGGCATCACCCCTCCCCTTCTTGTACTGAGCGTGTATCCTCTACCCTCCACCTGGGGCCCAACACTTGAAGACGTGGAAGAGAAAGGAGTCCAGTTTTCCCATTTTTTCCACTGAATCTGCAGGAAGCCTTATGTCTAAATACCCTCCCCCCATGCCCCATCACAGTCTGTGACCAGAGAGGGCCAGGCGTGTGTGGGGCCTGGAGCGGCGAGGGGCTGCAGAAAGACACAAGATGCCAGTGAAGAGGCACAGAGCCATGTTCCCATCCAGACAGCCTTGGCAGGTCCCCACGTCAGGGTTATGGGACCATGTGCACCTTAAAGGATGTTTTCATCTCCGGCTGCTGTGAGCCTCGTGGTGTTTTCCAAAAGGAAACACGTTTCCCTTGACCTTAGCCGGGAGGACTTGTCGCATCCTCCCCGCTGGAACTCCATTCCTGGACGTGTGCGCTGAACCCCATGTTTTGACCTTCCCAGAAAGAAGACTGGCCCATGCACAAGCTGGAATGTTCTGCCATGGTTGTTTTCGGGGAAAACTGGAGCCCCTCCGAGACCGTCAGGCTCACGGCAAGGATCCTGGCCAAACAGGTGAGGACGCAGGATAATGTGTGAGTGCGTGTCATTGCATTTTTTTTTTTTTTTTCTTAAAGGTCAGAGAGGTGAGGAACTGACCTGTGTGATCATCTCGTGTTGCTCATCCTTGTGCCCGTTTCCCGTCGCCTCCACACGGGCAGGGCTGGGAACACAACCCCAGGTGGAGGCCGGTTTGTCACATGCCCTAGGCAACCAGGACGGTGCTTACCCCGGGCCGGGAACATGGCAGGGAACGTGTTGCTTATCCAGGGCTGTGAAATTCAGGCTTTTTTTTTTTTTTTTTTTTATGAGATAGGATTACGTGGAAAAATACGGCTTTTCAAGGCATGAGCACCCGATTGAACAGAAGAATGAGCACATCGTAGGAAACCAGCCCTTTTTTGTGACTCAGAGAGGGCGCCCCAGTCCCCCCTCCTGTACTGTGTTCTGTTCTTCTCATCCCCTTCCCTGCCCACATCTAGGCAGGTGAGGGGTGGGGTGGCACAGCCAGGAAGACATATGCAAATGAAAAGAGGAAGCCGAGTGGAAAGGTAGAAACCAAGGCAAAGGGCAGAGGGTAAAAGAAAGGAGGGAGGAAAGACACGCTCTTGTGTGACCAGGACAGCAGTTTGCTCCCTTGATGCCGCCAGGACGGACGGCTCTCCCCTGGTCTGCTCAGTCCTCACTGACCACCTGCCAGGGAGATGCCTGGTCTCCAAGGGGTCAAGGAAAAAAAAAAAAAAAAGGGGGGAGGACACAGTGTCATCGGCCACGCGGGGCTCACCGGCATGTATGTCCATGGATTGGCCCATGCACAAGCTGGAATGTTCTCCCGTGGTTGTTTTTGGTGAAAACTGGAACCTCTTACTCATGGGCTAATAACCAGGTGGGAGCCAGAACCTGTACTGTCATTCTTGCACGCTGAAACTTCACCCCCATCTTCTTTATGCCACCATCTCCCTCCCCAGTTTTAAAACTTTGTATTTTTTTTATCTGAGCCAAATGGGATCACAATGATTAGCACCATCCCGTCCCCAGCCTAAGCTGGGATTCCGGGCCACGTAAACAGAAGTGGATCATTTCCGAACACTGAGCTCACCGCCCCGGTATGTTCAGCCGGGGTCAGGTGCTCGCTGAAATGCCAGGGCGCCGGCTCGGGGTAAGGGAGGGAGCCGGAGAAATCAGGATTGCTTTCCCTGGAGGAGGTTGACCTTTGGATCCTTACTATACAGCGTTTCTTAAATATGTGCAGGTACCTGCTCAGAAGGAAAGGGGAGGGGGACACCCGTGTGCCTCGGTGAGGTGTCAGGGTAAATAAGCCATCCCGTTAGCTATGCAGGCATCCTGGGAGAGTTGAGTGACCAAGCTGCCCCCAGGGGCCGCTCCCCCCCATTGATATTATTTATAGAGTCGTGTTTAAGAACCCAGAAGGAGCTGGCGTGCTTTCCTGAATGAAAAGCTTTCCCAGGGTAACACGAGCCACCAGTCTTAGAGAAATGCGCCCCGTGAATGGAAGATTCCCTGCTTCCCAACAAGAACCATTGAGATGTTGTGGTGCTAAGAGGGTCGCCCAAACGCTGCGATGCAGTTAGGCCCGTTTCCTTCAACTCCCATTGTAATGACTGCGGCCACTAATAGTCTCTTCAAGGAAAAGCTACCTGGCCACCTTTTCATCCCTGTAGGATCCAGATGATTAAAAAAAACGCCATTTGTATTCTAGTGGCTTGCAAAGGATTAGGGGAGCCGGGCTGCCCAGCTACCGGGGAGAAGCTTAACATGTTAACTAGGGAGGTGAGCGCGCCCTGCGAGACCACCTGTATGCCCACATTGAATGGCCAGATTACAAAGACACGCCTCGGGCCAGCTCCAGAGCCCCGCTTTTGAACTCTTGTCAACACCGAGTTTATTCATGTTCTCAAAGCCTGGCGGGTTTACTATTGTCGGCTCCTCTGGGGGCGCCCGGAACAAAGGCCGCCACGCGTTTTCAAGCGAATCCGGGCTCACAGACACAACCCAGAGTGTTCTTTTTGAAACGCGGAATCCGAGATCATGTTAGCGTATGCTTAAAGAAAGTGCAAAATGGATGGGGGGCTTGATTTTGTTCCTTTTCAGAAGGAGACATAATCAATAGGATGACGGCTCATCTGTTGGCTCGGGGCCTTTTAAGCCAGGGCCCTAAAAAGTTGTTTTCCAGCCGCTGTTCTTTCCTATAACAAGAATTTTATGAGCCTACTGTGTGCATAGCATTAGCGGGGCGTTAGGGACACGGCAGATGCTTAAACACACACACACACACACACACACACACACACGGCAGATGCTTAAACACACACACACACACACACGCACACACAGGGCAGATGCTTAAACACACACACACACACACACGGCAGATGCTTAAACACACATACACACACACACACATACGGCAGATGCTTAAACACACACACACACACACACACACACACGGCAGATGCTTAAACATACACACACACACACGCACAGGGCAGATGCTTAAACATACACACACACACACACACACACGCACAGGGCAGATGCTTAAACATACACACACACACACACACACGCACACGGCAGATGCTTAAACATACACACACACACACACGCACAGGGCAGATGCTTAAACATACACACACACACACACACACACACACACGCACGCACACGGCAGATGCTTAAACACACACACACACAAGTCACAAACCACTTAAGGATTCTTGGATTTGAACGTTGGGCAAACACTCCCAGTGGTGGATTCTTGGGTCACTTTCTCGCCTTCACTGAGAATTGTTGCTTTTCCTTCATGTGGATGTTAAAAGTGAAAGCGCCTTTTTCCCTGGTTGTTAAAAACCCGTTTCTGTGTGATTTCTTCCCCGATTACTAGAAAAGCCACCCGGGGAGAACCCCTTCAGAGAAACTGCTGGCCGTGAAGGAGTTTGAATCGCGTAAGTTTCTGTGTGACCGGCAGTGGCCGAGTTACTTTCTCTCCCCTTTTATCATGGATGAGGCGGGGCCCATGGCGGGGGTGATAGCTCGTCCTGGTTCCGGTGGGGATCGCATCATGAATAGCTTTTACTTTGACTTACACGCTGTTTTGAAAAATGACTAAAACTTGTTTTCCTGTGTCGATAGGGTTATTGGGAAGTAATTAATGGGAAGGAGGAACCTCCAGGATGAGTTATTGCGTTCCCAGCCATCTCTGCGGGCTCTCCCGGCCTGCTGAATCCTTTTGGATCTTTGCTGAGTTGCAGTCCTGAAAACAGCCTATGCCTTTACTGAAACTCTTTAAATGGGGGCAGCTCTCTGGCTTCTTGATCATAACACCAATGCCAGGGCCGACTGGGGGCCCCGAATGGGCTGAGGCTGGTTATCGGTCACGGCCATGCATCCCTGGCCCCGTGGCCCATGGACAGTTGAAATGTCACGTCCTGAGAGACGTCAGGTGTCAGAGGAAGAGAAGGAATACCAGCTTTTCTTCCCCTCGGGTTCATCAGTTAGACTGAGTGATGAGGAGGAGTATTTTGGGGGCTCCCCGTACATTTCCAGTCTCCTCCATGCCATTGACAGTAAGGAAAGGGTGCAGCTGGAAACCCAGCTTTCTCCCTGCTGAGTCGCGGTGTGCTTACCCACAGATCTGGATAAATTAGACAATGAGAAGAAGGATTTGATTCAGAGTGACATTTCTGCTCTCCATCACTTCTACTCCAAGCACCTCGAGTTTCCCGACAACGAGAGCCTGGTGGCACTCTTTGCACAGGTGAGGGGAACAGCATCCGGGGACATGGCGGTGATGGTGTGTAAGCCAAATTGCACAGCAGTTTGCCTGTCTTCTGAAATGTCCCTGGAGGAGAAAAGTGAGCTTGGGTGTTAAGAAAGATGCATGGGTTGCCAAAACCGGTTTGGCTCAGTGGTAGAGCATCCGTCTGCGGACTAAAGGGGTCCCAGGTTCAATACTGGTCAATGGCATGTACATTGGTTGCGGGCACATCCCTGGTAGGGGGTGTGCAAGAGGCAGCTGGTCAATGTTTCTCTCTCATCGATGTTTCTAGCTCTCTAGTTCTCTCCCTCTCTGTAAAAAAATCAATAAAATAAAAAAAGTAAATAAAAAAAGATACATGGGCCACAGTCCTCCCCACCCCCTCCACAAGTCAAATCAAGTGTAAGTGCCTTGCTAACGCTATCCTCATCATTAGCATATAGACTACATGTAGGCCGCACACCAAAATTACATTTCCCAACCATGCCTGTGCTCCGAGGGATGAAAGCGCACCTCCGTGCTGTGGAGGGAGTGTGGGCACCTTCGGCCGCCAGTGCACCTGGGCCACACCTTACCCCCCACCCTCCCATGAGCCAGAGAGTAACGGGCTCAGGGGGCTGAGGGCCAAGAGGCAGGACAAGAATATGGTGTGAGGCTGGGACAACACTTGTTATTTTTTTTTTTAATATATTTTATTGAGTTGTTTTTTTTACAGAGAGGAAAGGAGAGGGATAGAGAGAGAGAAACATCCATCAGCTGCCTCCTGCACACCCCTTACTGGGGATGTGCCCTCAACCAAGGTACATGCCCTTGACCGGAATCGAACCTGGGACCTTTCAGTCCGCAGGCCGACACGACACTCTATCCACTGAGCCAAACTGGTTAGGGCTGGTCTTTTCTTTTCAAAGAGCTCTCTATATGCCAGAATACAAACTCCCTGGCAGATATGCTGACGTTAGTCCTTGGGCCTCTGTGGTCTGTGCCATTGGGCTACTGCGTGTAGGTGGACGGGCAGGCTAGACCAGGGGCACTTCCCCTGACCGTTTCGCTTTTGCGAATTTTGTTTGAACAAAGGACACCTTGGCCGAAAGGAAGGTTTTAAAATCACTAAACCGGAACATCTTCCTGGTGCATTAAAGGTCAGACATTAAAGCGGTGATCTCTATCTGGACAGAAGGTCGGAAATTAAAAGGTCAGACACGAAAGCAATGATTTCTATCCAGAAGGAAGATCGAGTGCGCGTTATTTTGTTTTCTTTCTTTCTTTCTCACTGCAGGTTAACTGCAACGGCTTCACCATTGAGGATGAAGAACTGTCTCATTTGGGATCAGCAATATTTCCCGAGTAGGCTGAGTTTGACTTCTTCTCTTTTTACTTATTTAACTCTACTTTGATTTTTAAAAAAATAAATAAATAAAATAACCTACCTAACTGCATGTGACAGACATGGAACTCCGAGTGAATTAAGACACCTTTTTAATTCTGCCAGATTTCAGAGTATTTCCCCTGCGTTTGAGGAGCCGACGGCAGTTGTTAAGGGAACTGCTGCGTGTTAGGTCCTGCCCGGTCTGTTACTAGAGAGCTGTTATTAAAGAGCGTCTTTATCGTGTGCCCTGCTGAGAAACGTGCTATATTTTGCATATCCGTGGCTATGGAAATCTCCGGGTTTCATGCGCATTAATTTCCGTTCAACAACTGGCCACAGGCTGGCGTGGAGAATGTACGAGCTGCTTGTCCATCTGTCCTGTTTGAGGAACGCCTGTGCAGGCACAGCACAGCTTGGAGAGAGAGTGGACTAAAGCAGAGAGTGAGAGGGGGATATGCCAGAGAACTATGGGAATTTCGCTTCCCTCGGGAATGCTTCACTCAAAGAGGCTAGCCAGCCGCCACGTGGAGATCTCGGTAACCCTGGCGTTCATGGATGGCCAAGCATGGCTTGGCCACGGTCTTTTTGATGGAATGAGTGTTTTCACCAAAAATGCTCCAGTCCCATGAAATCAAGCCCTGGCTTCCCAGCAGGCGCCAGGAGCCTTCCTGCATCCCTGTCTGAGTTAACCCACGTTGTAGATTATTCCGTCTACAGGGACGCTGCTTAGTACTCACTGCAGGGGCCTCTGGCTTTAGGTCAGAGCCATTGCAGGAAACCTTGACCCCCCACGCCTTAGCATGGATGACATGTGAGCTCCTGGGGTGTCTGCCTGACGTTACCCAGCTCTGTGCATCCTGCAGGCCTCAGGGATACAGGCTCATGGCTCCCAGGCGAACAAAGCGTTTATCCCCCTGATAATACGGTTCCTGGGGCCACCAGGGTGTCCTCTGTGGTTTGAACTCCAATAGTGAGGGACGAAGTGTTTGGGGAAGAAGCTCTTGTGGACATTTTGCCCTTGGGAAAAGGAAGAGGAAAGGAGAAAGGCCATGAGACCCTCCCCAGGGGGCTGGTGTGGACCCCTTTAGGCCTGGAATGCACTCGATGGCTCTGCCCAGCCTCTAAGGTCAGACTGAAAGCAGGCGCCACGGAGTTCTGTCGGAGGCTTCACCCTTTCCCATGACTGCCAGGAAAATGATGATGCCCGGAGCGGGAGTTGTTCTAAGTTCTTGTCCTTAGCATTCCCCCACCTTCCTTTAAAGTAGGGGTGTCGAACTCAATCAGAGAAGGGGCCAAAATCTAAAATCCAGCCTACATCTCGGGCCGAATGGTTTACTGAACAGTCATAAACTGTCATTGTGATGGAAACGCAGCGGAGTGCAGTGATGACAGCGCTGTGGGGGCCACATTGCAAAGCCTGGCGGGACGGATTTGGCCAGCGGGCCTTGTGTTTGACACAAGTGCTTTAAAGGATACCGAGGGGTCTGTTTTGAAATGGAAAACTTCATACGTCTCCTGCAGGATGGTTCTAGGGCTCTGCTTTTCCATGGTGTGTGCTTACGGAGTTTCCGAGGGCCCGAGGCACCACTTGCAGGGAGAAGGCTCAAGGCCACCGCCGACTTCACTCAGACCCCTCAGCGCCTGGCGCTGGAGGGGGCTACCCCCCCCCCCCACAACACACACACACACACCCTACACGGCCAGCCCGGGGCAGCCCATCCTCTCTGCTTTTTTTGTGTTCCTGGGGCAAACGGGAGAGGGCTTTTGGTGGCTGAGGGTTCAGGCCAGTGGCCCCGAGAGCCATGGGACATATGGATGCCCATGCCCACACGCACCCCAGGTTTTTCTGCAGGCCCTTTTAATTGGGAGAAAAATCCCTTCGGACGGAAATCAATTCGGCATTGTGATTTCAAAGGCAGCATTTCCAGAGATCAAGCATTTTCCCCCTGTAGTTTAGAAATTTCTGTTCTCAGAACTTTGACCTTGATATAATCAGAAAGCTCAAAGCCCCTCGCACAGGCGAGTCTCCGTCCGCGCGCCCCTGAAAAGCAGGCCGTGAGCAGCGGGTGCGGCGTGTCCCAGTTTCCCCGACGAGGACTCGGAGGGGCCGAGGCTCCCGCGGGCTCCTCCGGGTCTCTCGGAGGATCACAAGCCCTCCCCTAGGAAGATGGCACCTCCCCGGGGTCGATGTCTCAGCATCGGAAGAAAACACGTTAGAGATAATCCACTGACATCAAAATCGGCTTGGAAATGATCCCCCACTTGTCTTGAACGGGGAGCACAGCGAGATGCACTTCACTGTAGGTGCTGGGTCGTGAGCCAGGAGTCTTTGTTTCCAATTTTTTATCATTGTGTGTGTTTTTGTTTCGGGCTTAGATGTCACAAAAACATTTTGTTTTTGTTTTTTTAAAATATATATATATATATTATTGATTTCAGAGAGAAAGGGAAAGGGAGACAAAGAGATAGAACAGTCATATTGAGAGAGAATCATTGATCCGCTGCCTCCTGCATGGCCCTCCTCCCCCTCCCACACTGGGAACCAAGCCCACAGCCCAGGCATGTGCTCTGACTGAGAATTGAACCCTGATCTCCTGATTCGTAGGTCAATGCTCAATCCCTGGGCTGGTTTTAAATGTCACTGGGACGACACATTTCACTTTTCAATACTGTGGAAGTTTAAGATGATCAATGAATGCAGAAAAACCTCTTAGGATCTGATGGCCAGCTCTTAGGTTTGTCTGTTAATGTCCTGAAAAGACCAAATTACCGCAGCTTTGCAAGGAAGTAGCCAAGGATTACCTAGACCCGTGGTCGGCAAACTGGGGCTCGAGAGCCACATGCGGCTCTTTGGCCCCTTGGGTGTGGCTCTTCCACAAAATACCTGGGCGAGTCTATTTTGAAGAAGTGGCATTAGAAGAAGTTTAAGTTTAAAAAATTTGGCTCTCCAAAGAAATTTCAGTCGTACTATTGATAGTTGGCTCTGTTGACTAATGAGTTGGCCCACCACTGACCCAGTCTGTCACCCTCATTGAGCATGTTGGTTCTCTCTTCCGATTGACAGTGTTGCATTGATGAATCACAGTTGCTGCCCCAACGTCATTGTGACCTACAAGGGGACCCTGGCGGAAGTCAGAGCCGTCCAGGAAATCAGCCCGGGAGACGAGGTGAGTGCGAGGCGTGGGCGGCTGGGGCGGCGGGCAGACAGCTGTTTCCAGAGGCAGGGTGAGAACTCTCTGGGGGAGACGGGCTGGGAGGGGTCCCGGCCGTTCCACCGTGTCCTCCTTAGGCCTCCCAGGGTCAGTGTTCAGAGCTGTGACCTATGGCTTGGAGTCCCATGCGTTTGGCTCCCGCTTGGTGCTTGCCGTTTCCATCCAAGAGAAAACAGGAAAGAAACACGGTGAGTGGAGTTCCCCGCAGAGGCGCGTGGAGATTTACAGAGAAAGGAGGCGGCAAGGCGAGCAGAATGAAATTCCGGATTGCCTGTGGAGTCTGTGTTCCCACCACCAAACAGTGCAGTTGGAGCTTTTTTTAAATTAGTGAATTTTGGCCTATTTTTCTGCCCTCAACAGGCCAAAAGCATTGTTACCTATAATAAAAGAACACATAGCACCCCAGTAGCTAAAGAGTTACAACTTCAGCCCTGGCCACGTGGCTCAGTTGGGTGGAAAATGGTCCCATAAACCAAAACAGGTTTCGGGTGCAATCCCAGGTTGGTTGGGACACACAGGAGTCAAGTGATCGATGTTTCTCTCTCACGTATCTCTCTCTCTCTCTCTCTCTCTCTCTCTCTCTCTCTCTCTCTCTCCATTTCCCTCTCTCTAAAGTCAATAAACATATCCTCAGGTGAGGATAAAATACTTTTTTAAAAGTTACAACTCCAAATGACATATCAGCCCTTCAGGTCCTCTCAAGTCCGCACCTGAACGTGGGAGAGTCCGCATTTTAGGGATGCAGTTCGGCAGAAGGCACCTGCAGCTCCCGCCTTCCTGTGGGGCGTGACAGGGGCCAGTGCTTGGCCACTGCTCGGGCTCTCTGTCCTGATGTACGTGACACAAAAATGAAACAAATCAGTTGTTAGGGATGATGATGACCCACTTTGGATTAGACTTCAGCTTAACAATCTTTCACACTTTAAGGAGCATGTGTGGGTTTTTAAGCGTGAAACGCAGCGATCAGTGTGCTGAACGATGAAGGCCTTGGCTTCTCGGCAGCTGTCAGCTAACCCAGAGCTGAAATTAGGTGTTCTTTGCTAAATTCATCATGACAAGGGTATTGAGCTTGGGCTCGCAGTATCATGGTTTCTGAATATCTTGTGGAGACCATGCAGGTACCTTTTTGGATAAAGAAGTGGTCTGCAAACTGCGGCTTGTGAGCCACATGCAGCTCTTTGGCCCCTTGAGTGTGGCTCTTCCACAAAATACCACGACCTGGGCCAGTCTAATTTGAAGAAGTGGTGTCAGAAGAAGTTTAAGTTTAAAAAATTTGATTCTCAAAAGAAATTTCAACCGTTGTACTATTGGTTTTGGCTCTGTTGACTAATGAGTTTGCTGACCACTGGGTTGAGGCGGTGAGAATGGACATCACCCAGCCAGGTGCTCCTGTGGGCTGAGGAGACTGGAGCAGTGGCACTGAGCGGCCTCTGTCGCCATCTTCTGGCTCTTCTGCTTGTTGCACTATGTGGCCCTCAATCATTGTAAAGAAATGAGGCAGGAGGCTCCTGCCACTGAGGCCAACAGGCCTCACTCCTGTTGGTTTGCCCTCCTGGACTCTTCCAGATCTGCAATGCAGTCACCATCTTTGAGGGAAGGCACTGATTTGGGGGCGACTTGCCCTTCACAGAGGAAAGGAGTCCATTCCCCAGGGCATCAATGAGCCCCGAGGTCCCCATGACTGCACTCTGGGGTGGAAAGAGCTTGGCAGCCCCTGCAGTTGCCCCCTGCCCGCCCGCCAGTGCCCGAGGCTCCTGGCACGCGGACGGCTCTGTGCCATCCATCTGTGCAGTCAGACATTTGCCTGATGGTGTGGGATGAGCAGCGAGTCCCGTCCCTGGGAGGAGATCACGGACAGTTCACCGCCCGCCTCCTCCACATGCTCCCAGACTCCATCACAGACCCCGGTAGGGAAAGCGAGGACTGCAGGCCCCGAGGAGCCCCTAGGGGAGACTTCTCCAGGTTCTCCGTCGGGCCCAGCTGGCAGGGCCGCAGCACGCCAGGGTCCAAGAAGCTGCGTCCCACCTGTGCACACGTGTCCCAGCCTGCCGGGCCCAGCTCCTTGCTCCTTCACCAGCAGATGGAAGAAGGGGAAACATCAATAATGCAGTAAAGCCGTCAGCTTGTGGAATGAGAGAGGCCGGGCAGGGACAGCCCAGGGCCAGTCCCCGGGGGGGTGAGGGGAGCCTTTTGCTCCGAGGGGCTCTGCTTCTGCCCAGGAGACAAGTTAGGGGCTCCTTGACTCTGTGAGAGGCGGGAAAAGACGCCCTTTCTCCCCCCCGCCCCAAAGCAGGTGGACGGCACTGGGGGGTTGGGCGTTGAAGTGCGTGGATCCTGAACCGTGGCCGCCCTCTGCGTCTGTCCCCGCAAGGACGCCTCCGCGGACGCTGGCAGAGCCGCAGGGAGGCCGAGGCGCGAGGGGGCCTGTGGCCGGCTGCAACGGGCACTTTCTGGACCCCCTTAGGTGTTCACCAGCTACATTGACCTCCTGTATCCCACAGAAGACAGGAACGACCGGCTGCGAGACTCTTACTTCTTCACCTGCGAGTGCCGGGAGTGCACCACCAAGGACAAGGTGAGCCCCCGAGGACGCCGGGCCAGAGGTGTCCCCGGGCTCTGTGCGTCCGGGCCTCTCTGCCACACCAGCGCCCCCTGTGACCCGGGGGTCTCCGCCGACCGGGCTTCTGCCCTGTCAGTGCTCCTCCTGAGTCAGCCCACGGGAATCCGGTCAGACCGGGTCTCTGTCCAAACCCAATGACGACGACGTTTCCATGGCACCGCGCAAATGAGAGACGCCTGTGCCCAGGTGTTTCCTGGAAAAGAAAGGACTGCACAGAAGAGACGGGGGGAGGGGAGGGGACAGCTCGTGAGCACAGCTTCCAGGCTCCCAGCCTGTTCCGAGGGCGTAGGGGTTGGCTCTGCTTTGCCCCGGTTATTCCGTCCATGACGCCGCCCCTCCTCATTCTAGTCTCTTGCTTTGTTCATATCTGGACACACGTGTTCTGGGTGTCCCGCCCAGGTGAGGATTGTCTAGATTCTAGAAAATATTTTGGGTTTTTGGTTTGTTTTTGTTTGTTTGTTTTTTTGTAAAAAGGTAAAGGTGTGTTGCATTTCTCTTCGATCCACCACCTGATCCCCTTTATCCTTTGGTAACTTTCGAATGGGCAGGCCCGCCCCTCTGCCTGGGCGAATGCCCCGTTCCTGAGGTTTCCCCATCCGGGTGGTTTCCGGGGGAGGTGGCGCCTTGCATTGTGGACATTCCCCTCAGGATAAGGCCAAGGTGAAAATCCGGAAGCTCAACGACCCCCCCAAGGCCGAGGCCGTCCGGGACATGGTCCGGTACGCGCGCAACGTCATCGAGGAGTTCCGGAGGGCCAAGCACTACAAGTATATCCTTGGCGGCTGTGGGGAGTGCCTGCGGGAGGGGCTGGAGAGGCGGGCAGAGGAGCAGTGGATGGGCAGAAGGTGCTGGATGTCGGAGGAAGACTGTCCCCCCGTAAATGGGTGGAGGCCCACGCACCACCCATGACTTGGGGTCAACCACCTCAGTTTCTGATGTCGATCTTATTTCTCTTTGGCTAGTTTGGTCAGGAGCTCAATGTGGTGGACATGTTATTGTCTAAAACTACAGAGAACGGTTCTTTGAAGGCGCTCATTTTGGGGGCGCGTTACTTTGGGCACAGGCTTTGCTTCTGTTGCCTCACCTGGTCATCACCCTGTATTAGAGACAGATCATTTGCCCCGAGGACGCAGCTCCCCAACAGACCCAGGATTCTGCCCCGTGTCTGCTGGCCACCACAACCCATATTCCTAAAACATTGTCTTGGGAGTTGAAAAGGCATGAGATTTATACTACGGGAAGCACTCAGTCCAAGTGCAAGGAAATTGGAAAAAGGCACGTCTATTTCTCAGCGTGAGAAAGAACTTTCCCAGGGTGGGGACTTCTTCCTTAAAAATGCTTCAGCTCAGCCTTGAGGATTTCCATTTAACGAGGAGGCTGCAGGTTGGTGAGTCTAATCAGTATTGTGTACAGCTGATCTGAGGGAGGGTCTGTCGCCAGTGGCTGAAGTTCTTCTGTTGTGTTTTAGCAGTTGAGGTGTTCAGATTGCCCCATTTGTTTCTTCAAGAAAAAAAAAAAGTGATTCCTTTCACTTTTGGGTGGCTTTCTGTAATGGACCTTTTCAGAGGGAGCGGGAACGGGTGGAGTGGACAAAACAACTCAGACCCAGCCTGCCGGCCAGTGCTTTCCTTGACCCCACAGCACCCCCTAGCGAGCTGCTGGAGATCTGCGAGCTCAGCCAGGAGAAGATGAGCTCGGTGTTTGAGGACAGTAACGTGTACATGCTACACATGATGTACCAAGCCATGGGCGTCTGCCTGTACACCCAGGACTGGGAAGGAGCTCTGCGATACGGACAGAAAATCATTAAGCCCTACAGGTGATTGCCACGGCCATGCCGACCACCTCCGCACGGAACGGAGGCTGGTGGTGTGCGTACCTAGGCCGTTTTGCCTCCTCACTGTCGAGCGCTGGAGCAGGCCCAGACCAGCTTTCTCTTCTCTGCACCCACATCCGGAGGTACAGGGGCAGGGTGCTGCTCCCTGGGTCCTGCCTGTCCCCTCCACCATCGGGAAGAGACAGGTAGGATGGCAGGTAGAGGTTTTGCAGGGATTGCTGGCGCTAGATGGAGTCCTGGGACCTCGCCAGATGCCATCTATGGTAGCTGTTTCAGGCCAGTATTTAAAACCCACCTGTTTGTTTCTTTTCATCATTTTCCACCTTCTCCCCTCGTGTTTTCCTAAACTGCAGCCCAGGATGCCGAGGAAACTTCGGGGCCATTGGATTGGCTGTGGTTATTCAATATCCCGCCTCGGTTTGAAGCGATCAAGCTGGGTCTTACCGTATGGTGATAATGACTCTCAGCCACGGGGAAGTTCCCTGTGGAGGGGTTGTTAACCCTTAGCGTGGGTGACAGATGGAGGCCGTGGCACTGTCCTCTGCCTCTGACCAGCCACTCCAGGGCTGGCGTGGCCTGGGTCAGATCCCTGGGGTGCTTGTTAAGCACGTTTCTCGTTTGCATGGCCACGATCCCCTCAGGACCAAGTGGGTCAGAACCTGGGCCCTGGCCCTGAAATCCCTGTGCCCCCGAAGCACCCCAGGTGTTTCTCGAGAATGTGAGAAGCCCTCCATTCACGTTCTGAGTTCTGAGCCGAGGGACTGTGACATTGGTGTCTGGTCTGAATGTTCGCTGCCCTGCTGACCCTCTACCTCCCCCTCATTGCCCTGATTAGCCAGCAGGGGGAGCCCAAGGGGAAGAAGCAGCTCCTAAAATCTGCTCTTAGAATTTGCTACATCGGGGATAATCTCAAAGCCTATCCTTTCGCCAGCGGACGAGAAAGTCCTGTGGTTTCATGCACACTTTCCTCTGTGAGATCTGGAGGGAGGAGGAGGAGGAGGAGGAGGAGGAGGAGGAGGAGAAGGAATAAGATCATCTCAGCCTTGCAGTTTCTCTCCCAGCAGGAACTGGCTGTTCTGGATTCTTCCTGAGCTTAGTGAATCCCAGTCCTCATCTTCTAGAGGCAATTAGGAGGATGGGGATGCAGGGGACAGCATTGCCCCAGGGCCTGGATCCTGCCTAGGAATATAGTCAGAATGCGTGTATTTTGGATGAATTTTGAGGGTACCCGTAAAGAAACACCTACACACACCCCAGCACCCATCCTCTCGCCCAGGAGCCACCTGCCAGTCTCTGTTCCCAGGAAGAGGGCTCTCTCCTAGGCCAGCCCCACCTGTCAGTCAGCCATCAGTTAAAACCAGATGGCAGTGCCCACTGTGTATGTATAAAGCTCTCTACCAGACAACAGAGGAAGAAGATCTAGAGGAAACGGGAGGCATTCTCCTGACTTCAGAGCTTATAGTTTTGCTAAACCAACTGGTATCATAGACTGTGATACCAAGCTGGGGCCTTGAGGCATATCAGTGTGTGTATGTCTTTAAGTATACTATCTCTTTAATGGGGGTGGGCAAGTAGGAGGGAGAGGCCTAATGCCCCATTATAGGGAATTTACCCAAAAAGATGGTTTCCCAACGCCCTGTTTTGGGTGCACCTAAAACAAAATCTGATGAGGATTGAATGCCTTGTTTGTAACTATTTTTGTGTAGGATTTCTCCTGCAGTTTTTATGTAGCTTTTCAGAGACACACAAACGGAATTCCATGAAGTGCCTCCAGGTGATCCCTTGGGGCTGACCATCCACAGGCTCCGGCCACACCTGTGGGGTGGGAGGGGGGTGGCTTCCGTGGGTGTGGCATCAGCAGCCACGCAGACGGCGCCCGGCCTGTGGGCTGCCCGGCAGCCTCTGACAAGCTGGCCTGTTGTCTTTTCTCCCCTTCCAGCAAGCACTACCCACGGTACTCCCTGAACGTGGCCTCCATGTGGCTGAAGCTGGGCAGGCTGTACCTGGGCCTGGAGAACAGAGCTGCCGGTGAGAAAGCCCTGCGGAAGGTACGTCTGAGACCCGAGGCTGCCTTCTCCGTACCCTTCTCCCCACTCCCCCGTTCTCCTTTCTCCCTCCCTCGAGAGGCCCCTGGCCCCCTCCGGCCTTGGCAGTGGGAGGGGTGGGCTCAGCAGATGGCGGTGGAGTTGTTGAGCCTTTGCTAGTTGGCGTCCAGGCCCTCCTGTGGGGAGAGGGGTCGGCCCGGGTGGGAGGCTCAGCCCACACCTGGGAGGCCACGCTGCCTGTTCCGTGCCCGTGGGCAGCCGGGACCCTGACATGTGGCTTTTAATTCTCACAAAAATGAGCTTTTTCTGATGAGGAAATTGAAATGCGAACGGGTTAAGTAATTAGCCTCGGGTACATGCTGGGGCCTTGATTTTAAACGGGCCGTTCTGAGTCGAAGGCTTCAGCTGCCTCCACTCCTATTGTGACAGGCACGCAGGGAAACCAGGCCCCTGGCCGCATCCGCCGGCCACCCAGTGCTCCCTGGGGAGGCCGAGTCCTGGCCCTCACCTCCCAGCAGTGTGGCTGTACTCGTCCACGCTCCTCGCCGTTGATGTCGAAGTGAACAGTTGGTAACACGTAACCTTTGGAACCAGCCTGTTGACCTCTGTCAGAGAATGTTTGTAAAAGTTGAGGCCACCGGCTAGCCTGGATGCCCAGGCCTCCAGATTCCCTAAACCTTCCCAGGCTATTGGGGACCATCGTGGTGAGGTCTGAATCCCACATGCGACGGTCAGGGCCCCGCCAGGCCAGGAACGTGAGTTAACTATAACATTTTCCTTTTTTTAAACCAGTAAATCTGTTTATTGCCTTCGTTACTTGGGTGGAGAGAGAGAATTAACCTGTGAGGTCACCATTGCAGTGGGCTGGTAGGTAATTAAGTACGAAGTGAAAGAAGGGTAGGGTAGATTTGAGCAAGGAATGTGAGTCATGAAAGGAATGCAGAGGCATCTAATAACGTGTTTCCCCAAAAATAAGACATCCTCCGAAAATAAGACCTAGCGCATGGAAAGACAAGATATCCCCTGAAAATAAGACCTAGCGCAACTTTGGGTGAAAAAACTAATATAAGACACTGTCTTATTTTCGGGGAAACAGGGTAGGTGATTCTGAAGACCTGCCCTCTTCCCTGGCCTGCCTCCTGTGGGTGTGAGACCTGGGAACAGAGGGGCACAGCAGAAAGAATGCTGTCATAGTCACAGGCCATCAGCAACCCCGCTTGGGAGGATGGGAGTCATTTGAGTATTTCTGTGAGTCATATGGTTGAGTTCAAAGGAGCAAAATAAATTCTTATTCAGTACGTACTTTCTATATGCCGGGCACTATTCCAAACACGCGATGTGTATTCACTCTGAGAGGCACAGAGTGGTGAAGTCAATTGCCCGAGGTCACACAGCTAGGAAGCAACGGAGCCAGTGGAAACTTCGCTTTATTGCTCTTCACTCTAAAAGAACCTTATTTAATATGTTCTCTCTAACTTCCAAAAATGAAACCTGCAGCGATTTTTTAGGTGTTTTTGTTTAAGAATATGTATTAAGAGGAAAGCATGCACTCTTTGAAAGGGAAAAATGGCTTAGTCGTGTCTTGTAGATCAGTAATGTAACCTTAACATCAAACAAGTTTGAGGTAAAGTTCACTGTGACTTTTCTGTTCCAGCAGAGCTGTTTACTTGGTTGACCGTAGCCAAATCCATCCCTAAAGCATTTTTTTTACTCAAATCTTAGATTATTAGGGTAAAAAATGTCATGTAATCAGTTTCTCTCTCTGGTTTCTTCAGCTATTGCAGTGGTAGAAACTGGGTGACTCTTTGGTTACTAGCTAATCTTGTCCTTTTTCAAAATCCTCACCAGAGGATATATTTGTTTCTAAATTTAAAAAAAATTTTTATTGATTTCAGAGAGGAAGAAAGAGGAAGAGAGAGAGAGAAACACCAGTGATGAGAATCACAAATCGGCTGCCTCCTGCACACCCCACACTGGGGATGGAGCCTGCAACCTGGGCATGTGCCCTTGACCAGAACCCAGGACCCTTCAGTCTTCAGGCTGATGCTCTATCCACTGAGCTGAACCAGCTAGGGCCTGAGGATATATTTTTATTTATTTCAGAGAGAGAGGAAAGGAGACGGAGAGAGAAACATCCATCAGTTGTCTCCCCTGTGTGCCCCTACCTGGGATCGAACCTGAAACCTAGGTATGTGGCCTGACCAGGAATGAACACACAACCTTTTGGTGTACCAGATGTCGTTCCAACCTACTGAGCCACCCTGCCAGGGCCTTTTTTTTTTTTTTTTTTTCTTTCTCCCCCCTTTTGGAGCAGATGCTGGAGCAGAGCGCAGACTCTGAAAGCAAGTTTGCCTCTTGCCCTTAACGCAGAGAATCCAGCTGAATTAAAGTCGGTGCAGGAGCGGGGGATGGGCTTTGGGCTCTTACCCTCTACCCCCCCTTTGTCTCTCTCTCTTAGGCCTTGGCGATCATGGAAGTGGCTCACGGCAAAGATCATCCGTACATTTCTGAGATCAAACAGGAAATTGAAAGCCACTGAAACGATGCCAGTGTGGCAGTTGTTATTTAAAGTGCTCATGCAGAAACCTTCGAGTATTTGAATATTTCCAATCAGATACATCACGCCTGCATTTCTGTAAAGTCATTGCCATGAAAACACTATGTGCACTTCAACCTTAACACATGGCACTCGTGGGATTGGTCTTAATTTTAACCGTCAGGTCACAGTCGTTTTTTAATGCTTTCCCTCCTAAGAGAGGATGGCATGATTTCATGTATGATACTTGGGACAGGTTGAGTTTTGAAAACTGTGATTATGTCTTTCTCTTCATGCCTGTTATTATAATGTGAGCAAACCTGAATGATGAAAGAGAATAAAAAAGGGAATGGTATTTGAAGTTTGTGTTTCCTTTTGTCAGCGGGAAGGATTTCTGAGAGGTGGGGGGCCCCCATCATGGAGTGGAGGTCACCCCTGTTCTGTGTCAGCTAGTGAGCCAGGCCTCCCCTCGGAGGTGGATCAGGTGGCCTCTTTAGCCTGGAGTTGCTTTCGGGGTTCAGTGCCTTTGGAGGAAGAAAGAGGGAAGATGCAGGGAGGGAAAAAGGGTGCCTGTGAAAAAGGTGAAGAGACTGAGTGCCAAGTGGCGGTTACCAAGGTCATGGGGATGCCAGGTTCCTCTCTTGACGGCTGTCACTTTTCCTCTTGTCCCCACGCCCACATGCATCTCCCACAGTTCATGGCACACAGTGAGGCCAGTAAGTGGGACACATTCTCTTGTCCAGTCAAGTGCAATGAGATATTTAGTGAAGACCTACTATGTGCAAGACAGCCTGCATAGCTCCCCGAGTCCAGCATAAGGAATATAGTCAATAATGTTGCCATAGCTGTGTATGGTGCCAGGTAGATGGCTGACCACCCTACTGTACACCTGAAATTAATACAATATTGAATGTCACTTGTAATTGAAAACATCTTTTACCGCAAAGCAAAATAAATAGTTGAATTTAAAAAAAAAGGGAGGGAAGGATAAAGGTACAATGAAGAGAGCTGGGTGGCCCTCCCTGGGAGGAGCCTGTGTCTGTTTTGATTCTTGGGTCTGGTGCCTGGTCTCCCTTCCATGCATACAGATGTTTCCCACGTGCTTCTCTTTCTTGGCTGTTTCCTCATCTGGCTGAAAGCAGACTTTCCACCTTCTGTTCATTGGTCTGTGCAGTCCTCTCCTTGTCTGGAAACACTCCCAGGGAAGCTTAAGAAGGAAAAGAATTTTTCCTTACCAACTCAGTGTTGTTGAGCAAACACTGGTCTCTCCCCGAGCGGGAGCGCGAGGCCAGCAGGAATCCAGCTTCCCCACAGCCCAGAAGGTAGCAACCTGGGGAGTGTTTGTTAGCAACTGCTGCAGAGAGCAGGCCCAGGACCAGGCCTGTGCCAGGCGCAGGGATGTTTCCCGTAATCCCAAGAGGAACTCCCCCATTAGGTAATCCTTAAGCCTGATGGAGTCGATGCCAGCTTTTTTATATTCACGCTCATGCAAATAGTTTTAGCAGCCATGAATCTGCTATGTTATTTTTCTTCATCTCCACACACCCACACCCATCTCTCACACACACAGTTCACGGCACACAGTGGGCCCAGCAGGTAGGATGCATTCTCTTGTCCAGTCAAGTGCAATAAGGTGTTTATTGAACACCTACTGTATGCAAGACAGCTCTTGAGTATGGAGAGATGAGGAAGGCATGGTCCTGCCTCTGGGAGTTTAGGGTTTTAATAAAGCTAATTTACTCTGTAGCTAAGCCTAAAAGAAGCTTAGCCCACCATCTTGGCGTTTTATGAAAGTCATAATTGTTCAATAAATTTAAAATAAAGCAAAGGGATCTGAACCAGTCCCACTCTCCAGAGGAAACCACTGTGAACAGTTTGCATATGTGGTCCCAATTTTTCCATCTCCATATAAGTAGATTTAGAGAAACCAAGGCAGAATGGCACTGACGTATTTTGTAATTTCTGACTCAACAATAAGGACCTCTTCCCATTTTAGCTTCTGCAGATTTGCCTCATTCTTTTTAGAGGCAGAAGAATGTTTGTGTTGTAATGTGCTCAGCCGTTCTCCTCGTTATGGACCTGTGGTTTTTCCAGTTTGCTGCTGTTATAAACAATGCTACACTGAACAATCTTAGACTAATAACTTTGCTGATGTGTGATAGCATCTTGGGGGGATAGATTCCTAGACGTGGGATTTCATAATCCAATAGTGGAAATATTTATGTGGAATAAATATGGCCACATTTTTTTTGGGGGGGGGGGGGAAGGGGGAGACTGATAATTTTATTTTAATATTTTTTTATTGTTGATAGTATTACAGATACCTCGCATCTCTCTCCCCTTTGTCTCCCTTCTTCCAGCCCCTACCCACCCCCTTCCCAGGTCTTCATGACCCTATTGTTCATGTCCCCTGGCTATGCATATAAGCATATAAATTCTTTGGTTTTTCTCTTCTCGTCCCCCCAACCCCACATCAAGGTATGTCAGTGTGTTCCATGCCTCCATGCTTCAGGTCTTATTTTGTTGGTCAATTTATTTTGATCATTAAATTCCACAAATAAGTGAGATCATGTGATATTTATTTGTCTTTCTTTGATTGGCTTATTTCAGTGAGCATAATATTTTCCAGGTCCATCTATGCTGTCCCAAAGGGTAAGAGGCCCCTCTTTTTCACAGCTGCATAGTATTCCACAGCGTAAATGTCCCACAGCTTTTTTATCCATGCATCTACTGATGGGCACCTGGGCTGTTTCCAAATCTTCACTATTGTAAATAACGCAATTATGAACATAGGTGTGTGTATATTCTTTGATTGTTGTTTTGGGGTTTTCAGGATATATTCCCAGAACTGGGATCACTGAGTCAAACAGAAGTTCCACTCTTTATTTTTTTGAGCATACGCCATACTGTTTTGCATAGTGGCAGCACCAATCTGCATCCCCATCAGCAGTGTGCCAGTGTTTCCTTTTCTCCACAGGCTTGCCAGCACTTGTTTGTTGATTCGTTGATGAGGTGTAAGGTGATGTCTCATTCTGACAGGTGTGAGGTGGTTTTAATTTGCATTTCTCTGATGGTTAGTGACTAAGAATTTTTTCAGATGTCTCTAGGATTCTAAGCCATCTGTATGTCCTTCTTGGAGAAATGTTTATTCAGGTCTTCAACCCATTTCTAATTGGATTGTTTGTTGAATTGTACGAGTACTTTATATACTTTAACCCCTTATCAGATGTATCATTGGCAAATATGTTCTCCCATACAGTGGGTTACCTTTTCATTTTGCTGTGCAGAAGCTTTTTAGTTTGATGTAGTCCCATTTGTTTTTCTCCTTAGTTTCCTTTGCCCTAGGACGGTGGTCGGCAAAACTGGGGCTCGAGAGCCACATGCGGCTCTTTGGCCCCTTGAGTGTGGCTCTTCCACAAAATACCACGGCCTGGAGGAGTCTTTTTGAAGAAGTGGCATTAGAAGAAGTTTAAGTTTAAAAAATTTAACTCTCAAAAGAAATTTTAATGGTTGTACCTTTGATATTTGGCTCTGTTGACTAATGAGTTTGCCGACTACTGCCCTAAGAAATGTACCCATAAACATAGCTATGTGAGATTGCTGAGATTTTACTGCCTGTGTTCTCCTCTAAGATTTTTATGGTTTCATGCCTTACATGTAAGTCTTTCATCCATCTTGAGTTTATTTTTTTGTATGGGGCAAGTTGGTTTAATTTCATCTTTTTGCATGTGTCTGTCTACTTTTCCCAGTATCATTTGTTGAAGAAACTGTGTTTATTGTATGTTATGGCCTCTTTTGTCAAATATTAATTGACCGTAATGGTGTGGGTCAATGTTGGGGGTCTCTGTTCTATTCCATTCATTTATATGCCTGTTCTTGTGCTAGTACCAGACTGTTTTGGTTATAATGGCTTTGTATTGTGGTTTGATATCTGGTATTGTGATCTCTCCTATTTGTTCTTCTTTCCCAAGATTGCTGCAACTATTCAGGGTCTTTAATGATTCCATATAAACTTTTGGAGTATTTGTTGCCACATTTTCTTTCTAAAAAAACTTATCAGTTGTCAGTAGGATATAATATTTGTAGTATTTGTTTTCCTCTACCCTCCTAACACAGTACTATTAAAAACTTTTTTTTGCCTATTTACTGTGTGAAATACTTTATTTTATATGCATTTATTAAGGGGATTGGGTACTTCCTAATCCACCTAGGAATTGTGTTTCTTCTCTGAGTTGTTTTTTATGGCAGTTGCTGATTTTGCTATGCATGTCTTTCATTATAATTTATAAGAGCTCAATGTGTTTTGAGATATTCGTTCTTTGTCCTGTGCTGACAATGATTTCTCTAGTTGTCCATTAACTTTATTTTTAAAAAATGTTTTTATTGATTAGAAAGAGAGGGAAAAACATCAGTGTAAAAGAAAAACATCATTTGGCTGCCTCCTGCATGCCCCCTCCTGGGGATTGAGCCCACAACCCGGGCATGTGCCTGACCCAGAATTGGACGAGTGGCCTTTAGGTGCCTGGGATGATGCTCAAGCACAGAGTAACACCAGCCAGGGCCATTCACTTTGTTTTCCATGACCCAAGTAGAAAAATCTAAGAGAACACAACAGATTAGCTCCTGTGGTAGCTTGTTTGCATTTTTAAATGAAGAAAAGAAAGAAAGCTATTTTTTATTTTATTTTTTAGAATATATTTTATTGATTTTTTTACAGAGAGGAAGGGAGAGGGATAGAGAGCTAGAAACGTCGATGAGAGAGAAACATCGACCAGCCGCCTCCTGCACACCCCCTACCGGGGATGTTGCCCGCAACCAATGTATATGCCTTTGATCAGAATCGAACCCGGGACCTTTCAGCCCGCAGACCAACGCTCTACCATTGAGCCAAACTGGTTTCGGCTAAAGCCATTTTTTAAATGTATTTGATCTATCTGGAATTGTGCTAATAGAAATCTGATGGTACTATTTAAAAATTTTTAATGTTCACAGTTGCTAGCTACTTATGCTAGCATCATTTATTGAATGGGTTTTTCCCCCCTGCTGAATTGAAATGTTCTCATTCCCTTAAGACGTCGGCTTATTTCTATACTAAATCATCCCATTGATTTGCCAGTGAAATATTCTTAATTTTTGTTGCACTCTAAAACTTAGTATCCACTGGAGCTAATTAATCTCTTGTGTTCTCTTGGATTTTTCTAACCATTATCCTATGTTTAACCCTCCCAAGTACTTGGGAGTCCTCTCTTGGCCTTGCCCCATCTCCCATCTCCAAAAATGCTGTTGTGATATGAGGATTGCTTTGGAGTCAGCGAAACACAGAGAAATGATCTCCTCTATCCAAGAATATAGTGC